AGGAGGGCTGCACTGAGAGGCCGTGAGGGAGCCCGTCCCTTCCTGTCTCCAAGACACCCTGGGCTTAGTGGGAAGAGCCGTGGGGCCCTGTCCACCTCCCGTTCTTTTCTTAGGAGCCATTTGGCCCTCCCAGCAGTTGGGTGCTTTTCTGGGCGGGCCAGTGTTTCTGGGAGAAGCCACCTGGGAGAGGCAGGGAGAGACAAGCTCTGCTCACAAAGCTCCTACCCTGCATTTTGTTCAGAACCCGGCACAGCTCACAAGAGCTCGCAGCTCCTGCCTCAGTCCTGCTGGGTGTTGTCCTGGGCTCTTTGCCAATGGCTGGGAGTCAGGACACTGGGACCTGCTCTGGGCTTGGCCACTAACGTGCTGCATCATTGTGGCCAAATCCCTCCTCCTTCCTGAGCCTCAGTTTTGTCATCTTTCAAGCTGAAGCGTTGGACAGGACAGAGGTTACAGAGGGGGCCGGTAGTCCCCTTGTGGGTTGCACAGTGTTTTCAAAACTGGCAATTTTTGTGCAAAAATCAGGATTTCCAGCTTCTCTTGAAAAAACACAAAAGCCCACTTACCAGGCCAGCATCCTCACAGAGTGAGACTCTGGCTGATGGGTGGGTAGAGGCTACCCCTTTGGTCCTTTCACTCATAGTGTGGCCCCTAGACCGCCAGCATGAGCATCACCTGGGAGCTCGTGAGAATGCAGACTCTCATTCAGAGCCTGCACCTTAACGAGATCTCCATGCACATAACGTTTGAGCAGAATTGGTCTTGAGTAGTGGTTCTTAACGTTTAGCTGCAACAGAGGCGCCTGAAAGACCAGATTGCTGGTCCCCATGCCAGGGTTTCTGATTCAGGAGGTCTGGGTGGGGCCCAGGAATTTGCGTGTCTTACCCCAGGTGATGCTGATGTTACTGGTCCAGGGACCACACTTTGAGAACCACCAGTCTAGACCAAGCTGGCCAGCACTCTCGACTTGGGCTGTCTGGTGCTTATAGGCATGTGAGTTTGAGACCCCTGGAATAGAGGCTGACCAGGGGCTGCCCAGAACCAACCTGCTCTGTCAAGACAGCCTTGTGACCCTGGTTGGGATCTTCTAAGTGCTTGATCCCCCACAAAACCTCTGAATAGGCTGTTGGATTCCTACCCTAACTTCTTGGTTTTGTAACCAGGATTTTTGATCTTCTAGGCCAGCCACCTCCAGTTCCCAGGGGCTGTTTATGGCACAGATGGATGTCCTGTGTCCGTTGAGAGGATTGTGAACATCTTCAATGGAACTGGCTGTCCCAGCTTGAGAGGGAAGCCCAAGCTCTTCTTCATCCAGGCCTGTGGTGGAGGTAAGCTGGTCGTCAGCCTCCCTGCAGGTACTTCTCGTGGGGAGGGAGCCGCTGCCTACTTCCTTCTCCACCAGACCCTCATGATGTCCCAGGGGGTCTCCAGGAAATCACAGGGTCCTGAGCACTGTCCCTGCTGGGCAAATGTGGCCCCTCCCTGTAGCTGAAGTAGCCTCAGCTCTGTCCAGCCTTTAGAGGTTCGTGTCTACCTTCTTACAGTAGCATGAGGAGACCATTCAGCTTCTGCCACTTCAACCCCAGAGACTTGGGCAAAACAAACAAAGCAGAGGAGAGAGCAAAACTCTCATTTTCTTTATCATCAGTCCCCTGACCTCCATCAGCTGGACTCCCTTCCCACTCTCCCAGAGAAAGGGAGGCCATCACTGAATTAATTAATGGAATTCCCAAGGGCCTAGATACTTGGATTCAGTAATTTTTAAGGATTATTTAGATTATTAGTAGTTTGGCCATATACCCTGATTTTAGACTCCGCATATGAGTGATACATGGTATTTTTCTTTCTCTTTCTGTCTTACTTCACTTAGAATGACATTCTCTAGGTCCATCTATGTTGCTGCAAATGGCATTATTTGATTCCTTTTTATGGCTGGGTAGTATCCCATTGTATAAATATACTACAACTTCTTTATCCAATCACCTGTCGATGGACATTTAGGTTGTTTCCA